CCGGAAAAAAAATGTAAACTAAATTCAGTTTGGTGATTTTTTTGGGATCCGAATCTATACGTATACGTATCCCATTTCTTATACCTTCCACACCTAACTCCAACTTACGTCATTCAACCGATCTCGGTAATCCTTTCAACAAGCTCTTTCCATCTCACATTCTCAGCTGTGTACTGACCTCCTGTTAATGCTCTCACTTATAACTTTCTTCATTTACTATTCCAATCCCCCGCTTTATGCTATCCCAATCGATCGCGCTTTGTGCTGGAGGAACCTATAATTCTTAACAACTAAGAAGGGATTGCCGAATATCCACCTTCCATGGTAATTAATACCCTATCTCGTTTTCCATCTTTTAATAGTTTCTATAGCCACTCCCACATGAGTCCTACATATCGGCCAACATCCCTTATAAGCCTCATAATATCCTAAATATATTTATCGCCTCCCAGATTTCCTCTTCCTATATCACAATCAAATCTCTGGATGACCATTCATCGAATCATAGTTGTGGTTTTTTTCTGGCTTTATCAATGTCTTGATTTGTCTTATCCGGAATTTTTAAGACAAGATTGTTTTCCAAATCATCACGAAATTGATCTCAGTCTACTCGTAATATATCTGTATTCAAATTTAAGATGATTTGAAAAACAAACATGACTTAAAAGTTCCACTTAAGACAAAACGAAACATCAATAGAAAACGCACCACATCAATAACAATCGGTATAAATGATAACACATCCATCAATATAAGCAATTATTTACAACATATTAAATTGCCACAACATATTCGATCTTACTAAGAGAAAAACTCAGATTAATATCGAAGTGGTACAGGGCTAGTTATCCAACAGATAAAAAGATCGCCAATGCTGGTCCAAATCCGACTAAGAATAATCCCAAATATTCGCTCAATACCTCATCCAATCTTTTAATCTACATCCCGATATCCTTAATTTAACTCACCTCAAATGTATTGAAGCAGAATTAGATACTCCCCACTAAATTTTCCTTCCACCTGAAACGTTTTATTCCTCAGAAATATCCATCATTCACAGATTACCTTCCCGCAAAACTCTTGGACATGACCTAATTACATTCAAGATCTTAAATTTTATTCTTCGAAAAGCCAGCTCATTCCTTACTCACATAAATAATGTAAACCTTATTTAATAATGTATACCTTAAAGCTCATGTAATGACTATTCGTCCGCATTTCCCAAGTCTACTGGTATTCCTCAAGATAGTATCCTTGGTCGTATCACTTAAAAAGTTTATACAGCTCATATTCCAAAACATCTTAACACTCGTCATCAAGTATGCCGATGACACATATGTCCTATCAGGTAATAATTACCCAACGATTGTATACCAAACTCTTCAATCATATATCACAAACCTCGAATAATGGCTAAAAAACTGAAGGATTTGTTTATTTTTTAATTTGTCGTAAATCAATGATTTTCTTCCCTACAGTATCCTTTAATAACAACCCTGCAAACGTTAAACTTGGAATACTCATACCAGACTCAAACGACAAGAAACCACTCGGCGTTTCCGACGCTTCAGCACTTACTACATAAACGGTCGAAGCTACCAATTACAAAAAACTCATGTACATGACTATAGCAGACCTCTTTGGACATATGGAGTTGTGCATTGGAAAACTTAACCAAGTAACCGTCGAATTCCTTTCGTGCCAAATCCTTACAATCCAAAATCCTTCGTAAAATGCTTAATGCTCCTTACTTTGTTACAAATAAAATCATCCATAACGACCTTAAGGTTCCACATGTTTCCGATTTGGCCCGATCCAGATATCTATCCTTCCCTAATAAGTTTAATAACCATCCCAATCATCTCGTTCCTAATCTTTCTTCCTCTTCGTTCTGTGATAACGCTCCATGGCATCTGAAAAGAAGATGGTCTCCTGATTTAGAAATTTGGCTAGAGTGCTCAGGAGTGCCAATGTGTAGTTTCCCTAAGTCTTTTCATTCCATTGTATTTCTCTGTAACACAATTACTACATGTGTATTTATTTTTAAGGAGTTGTAAATTTAATGAACAAAATAAAAAATATAATTGCTAATTTTCTATATCAGCTGAATTACTAGAACTATCAGGATGCTGTTCTTGTTAGCACCGTCTCAGAAACGACTATATAAATAGTAGATATTTATATTTTGAAATTTAATAGAAGCGACATTTGATTTTTTTATCAATAGATTCCCTCCATTTGATGGATGCTTCAGTTTTTTTTACTGATGTATAAATGCCTTTTTTCGAAATATAAAACTCTTTCAAAAGTCGTTTTTGTGGACATCCACTCCCTAATAGGAACAGGTTTCTTTGGACCAACATTAAAGGCTGAAAAGCTCTGTGTAAACTTTGACTTGGGCCACTGTGCAGACTTTGCTTGATATATTTTTTTTTTCTTTGTTCACAAAGCTCTCTAACTTCGAGTTCCGTTTGAATCATCCCGTTCGTTTGCTATTGGTTTTGATTGATCAGTAAATGAAAGAGCCGGATAAAAGCGGCCTTTGTAAGTTGTGTTTTTCGCCCACTCACTCAAATGTACAACTGCAGCTTGTTTACATTACTTTTTTTTTTAATCTATCCGGAAACATCCGATGTGAGGATTCTTTTTATCTTGTCTGGCAAACAGAGGATTTCAATTTCATCATCAAATAAACAAAATCCGTAGGACATTACTTTATAAAGGGGAGTTAGTCAAAACTCGTTTTTGAAATGTATGAAGGCCATATTTTCATCGGTTACGTTCATTTTCAAATCAATAAAACAAAATAAATAATGTCAGCTTCATGGAAATGTTAAAACAAGATTGCGAAATTATGAGATTATCCAAAAGGACTTTCTAATTTAAAATACAAAAAGTTGTTATCTTGTTGAAGAACCTATGTTGGGGTTCTCGTCTGAAAAGGTTACAAATAGCACTCCAATTATAAACAAGAGAGACATATACCCTTGACTTCCAATTAAATTGGTTTAATTGACTGCTTCTTGTTTAGCCGGCCTGTTGTGAAGAAGTATTGAGTGGGCAGAAGGAGGGAGCCAAGAGCTCGCGGTAATTAAATAAAAGGACAAAAGTAGAGTGAAGGGAATTGGAAGACAGACCGCTCAGGCTACCAATCAATATCGAAGGCTTATCTTCATTTACTTTAGGTAGTGGTTAGATTATTAAGCAATTAGCTACACTATGTCCCCTGCCCTTAATTCATCGCTACTTTCTTTCTATTGGTAGCGAAAATTAGTTTCAGCCCTGAAAACCGAAAACCCCCCATAGTTTTTAACAACAATTGGGCATAAACAGAGTTTCAATACACTGCAGGCCTGACCTTGCCATAACTTCAATGATAATAATACGTTTTTTTATTCTGGAACCATTTCCTTTAGAATTAAATACAATAACAGAATTGTTGCTATATATATATATATATATATATATATATAAATGTGTAAATGTGTAAATTGTAGTTTAGTGGCGTGATTTTATGTCATGGTCGTCTTTTGGTAGATTTTAGCCAATGTCTGTTCCTTAAGTTTTTTTTTTAACGTAAGTAAAAGGAACTAGGTTCATAAAGCTAAAGGTGCTAAATATCATTTGTTGTACAAAGAATTAAATCAGAACCTACCAAAATTGTATTTTACCCAAAATTGGTCTAAGCATTTTATAACCACAATTATAAAAGTAAGGGGGGAATTACTTCAATTAAATAACTGAATAGATAGAATTGGCAGCCATATTTGTTCTCTGTGCAACTTAAATCAAATAGAAACCATGTATCACTTCATTGCAGTATGCCCAGTTCTGAGGGAATTTCGAATAAAATGCTTCGAAAAAAATAGTTTAACATATAATGAGTTCCTTGAAGTGATAAATGAAGAAGATCTGAATGCAATCTACATGTTTACAAACATATCACTAAGGTATAGAGCATCTCTGATAAAAGAATTTAATTATTAAACAATATTATGATAATCTGTAAAATATATGGACATGATATGTGTGTGTGTGTATGATATTAAAGTTCTCGTGGTTCATACGTAATAATTCTGACTTAGTAATGTTTAACTCTAGTGTTTTTTTTTTTTTGTTTATCTGTTTATATTTTCGTAAATGTGTACGGAACTGCTTTTTTTAGCAAGAGCAACAGGTACAGCTAATTCTAAGCAGACGGACAATGTCCATGCTTATTTATTGTATATATATATTTATATGATATAAAATATATATATAATTAAGATAATTGTATAATTTAATTTTGAGAAAATATATAAATTTATTCATTCATTCGTTCTATGTTCATAAAGCTATCTTTCACATTGTATCAGTTATTATTTATGATTACTTGACCAGTTCTGTCCTAGCTTGTATAGTTCTTCATAATGTAAGTAGTTTTTTTCTGTTGTAACTGAACAGGCTGTGTTATTTCATCTGATTAAAATATACACTTGGTCTGTAGGGCTGCTAATTGGGGGGGGGGATGGACGGAGGAGAAAAAAAATACACACACACATGTATATATTTGAAGAAAATATACATATATAGTATTTTTCTAGATTATATTAAACATATATATATATATATATATATATATATATATATATATATATATATATATATATATATATATATATATATATATATATATATATATGTATAATTATATATGTATATAATTTTTTCTCTTCAAATACTACTAAATGCCAAACGTTTTCTTGCACATTTAGGAAGAACACAATTAAACAGTGTATCTAAATATATTTTTAATAGCAATAATTTATTAATAAGGTAATTATTTTAACATTTTTTGTGAGAAAAATAGGAATCCATTACACCTATAGATTTTACATAGATTGAACATTTACTGATTTAAGCCAGGAACTTATTACCTAAAACTTAAGAGAAGGGATGGCCAATAGGAAGAGGTTTGGTGAACTCGACAATTGTGCATCTATTCAAAGTAACATGGTTTCTCACTCACCGTCATCCATTATGGCTGTAGTGACATTTTTTCCTGTGACACCTTGTGCCCAGGCTGCTTCCACGTTGAGGTCCAATTTGGCCTTCCCTCCGTTCTGGCCGGTGTTCTTGAGGTACCATTGGAACTGGAAGAATGGATCAGTTGGGTCCCTCTCGGGCTTCATGTCCGGAACGAGATTCTCAACCCTCAGCGGCTTGTAACCACGCTTCACTCTCTTGAAGCCTGGCATCTGTACCGCAATGTGGACCTGAAACATAAGGAAAGAAAATATTTTTTAATTAAAACCGTAATCAAATTTTGAAAAATATTGTAAAACTTTTTTGAAAAAATGTGTATTTTTAATGAGACTTTTGACTGTAACGACAATTGTTTTAAAGGAAAAAATAATTATTTTTTTGATATTGATAAAGCCATCATCTCCGATTATCATAAGCGGCTGCGAGCCCTGATAGAATGAAATGAATGATGAATGATGAATGAATAAAATGAAAAAAAAATAATGAAAGATTTTAGAAAAGAATCCTCCGCACGAAAACCTGAGCGATTTGGGATCAGAGTACTGACGCTTGGAGGAGAAATGCTCATAAAAAGCTGCTTACAGAAACTGGTCAATCGATACCATACGATATGAAGGCACATAGGTTAAGGTAGGAGGAACATGTAGCTCTGATTAGTCCATCTGGAAGCATGTACACAACAATGAATGCCACAATACAAGGCAAAAGACCACGTGGAAGACAAAAAAACCTGATGAATAGATAGAATCAACAAAGATGCAATAGAGATATATGCTGATAAGTGGAATGAAATAGCACATACAAAGATGGAGAAGGGTGTTTAAGGCGGAAGAAGATGTACAAGGTATGTCATACTAACAGGAAAAATGAAAAAAAAAAAGTCTCTTTTCCAGGTGTCAATCCATTTTGGAAATATTAAAAATCGTAATAAAATTCTCATAAACAACCATGAATCATCTTTGACCTTACTTATTAAATTTTGGTTGTCAGTCATATATGAATATTTTTGTTAATAAAATAAAAAATAATTAAAAAACCATGATGGTGAACGAATAAAATATTAGGACTCAACGCAATCATCCAGATATGAATGAATAGTACAATAGAAAATTCTGTTTTCCCTCGGCTGAAAAAAAAAAAAAAAAAACCTATAACAACTTTAGCCCATCAATAATCCAACTCAGAAACCAGTTCCATGAAATATCAGAGTTGAAGCAAAAGTTGTGTTGTTGCGAAGGGAGTAATGCTAAAACACACTCGAGCTAAGTTACTAATGGACGCCTACTTCCAGCGACTCGACTGGAAAATTGAAACTGTTTTGACAAAGGGCAGCGCAGTCTGGAGTTTCAGTCGACCTGAGTACTACTCACTAAACCACTCGACTACTTCAAAACATGGACTGCGGTGGTTTTTCCTGGATTGGGACTCTTATTCTTCAGCTCTAGAGAGAATCACTTTATTATCATAAAATGGTGCTGCCCAATTAGATTGGGCTGCTAAAAGCACATTATACCTATTAATCACTACAGTCAATTTTTTAAAAATAATATTGTATACTCTAAATATTGTATACAGCCGGTAAACAATTGATGCCTCTTTTAATCGATTTCAAAATATTTATTAATCTGAAATACATACATTCAAGTAAATACTATCTACTTGACTTCGTCAATACTCTAAAATTACAATAAATATTGTTAAAAACTATTAAATGTTTGTGATTCAGTATAACACTAACATAGAATGAAAAATAAATCATGAATGTGATTGTGAAAACACAATTTTTTCGCAATCTAATTGACTAGTTATGTAAAAATGTCTATTAAAAAAAATGTATAAAATCCATTGATATGGCATTAACAAATAAGTAGGACATCGAAAAGTAAGCGCTGAAAATGCGAAAAACAAATTTACCACGTGCTGGTAGATAAGGGACATCAGAGTTTCATTCAAGACATAAAAAGCTATCGCGAAGCCGACTATAAAGACTCAGACACACAGAGTACGATATGCGATCTCATTGCATTTATCGCTGCGGAAGATCGCTCTCAGGATGACTGTGATAGTGGAATGGGTATATCACACAGTTAGATCACCGTATCACCACCAACAGCGACATAATATCGCATAATATCTCAGAACTATATTACGCACGCATACTGTGTGTCCGGGCCTCTTGGTCATAAACCTTAGGGTTTGTTTTAGCAGTCCAATAATATTCTAATAATACATTATGTAACTCCTTCATTTTTTTAAATACTTTCTATCATCAATTAAAAGTTTTTAGTAATTACAGTGATATAATATTTCCTATTGCTCCAATGTCCACTTTACAATATTTCGAATCACGTAAGGAATATTAACGCGTTCCTGCTGGCTATCGTGGGTTATTAGAGTTTACCTGATAGTTACATCGCTTCGGTGTGTAGGAGTATCAAATTAGTTGCATCCAACTTGAATTATCCTCACTTCCTGCACTAGGCAATCAATAGTTATAATTAGTTTCAGTTTATGAACAAGCTTGAGCACGGAGGCGACGTTTATAAAATCATTACGTAAATGAAATGATTATATTTTTTGTTATTTATAATCATAGTGAGTTTTTACTCCATTTTTATGTTTTTTTAGTTACATAACTAGTTTCTAATTTAAACTTAAGTTCTTGTTTAAGTGTCTCATAGGTACCTCGAGACGGTCTCACCTTTCTAACGGTTAAAGCGGGTTTTTCGCCGATAATACTTCCTTGGATCTTACCGATTCTAAGCGATCAACTCTCAACAACCTTTCCTACATCTACAGTTTCCTATAGTTCAAACTCTTGCTCCATTCATATAAAACTAGATTCCGGATTTCCGATCATTATACCCCTTCCCACAGAGCAACAACCTTCGCACGTTCCTTTCTTGCCCGTTCCACAGCTTTCTAGAATTTTTTATCATGCTTATTCCTCGCTCTCTTTCAAATAATCTTTTTGCTAGCACTTTCTCATGCCTCAAACATACGCTCTGCAATCATCGTTTTATATTTTAATGGGATGGAATTTTGATAGAAGTGAATGACCATTCTTTTTGTTTAAGTGTTTCACTGATGAATCAATTCATGGTTTTTCTGATTTTCTAAGATTTATACCTCTTTTTTTACTTTCGCTTACGTATATATTTAATATCGTGAAAATTTTGTAATCTCAGTTTTCAACGGAAATACATGTTTTGAGGTCCCCTGAGTTCAAATAACCAATTGTCACAAAATGGTCTGTGTGTGTGTGTTAACAGTCTAGCTCATAAACGAAAATTAGTACGAAACTGATATTAAGTATTTAAGGTTTGTATATGGGGCGGATGTGACAGCAACTTTTTCGTTAAAATCGGCTAACCGAAAGTGCCGCTTTATATGAACGCTGAAACACATTTTTACAATTTTCTCAAAAACGACTCAAACGATTTTGATCAAACTCGGTGTATCATTGTATAATTAAGTGGTCTTTAATATCATTTAGGTCTTATCCCCGATGATGTCACTTTACAGGGCTTAAATGCCCAATGTTCATATATGTCTTCCTCTAAAGTACCTTTAATATGGTTTATTTTAAAAAGTTAACCATTTCGCATTATTCAGAGTTACGAAAAAATGCTACATATAACTTTTGAAAGAATTCGATAAATTAATAAAGGAGAAAGAAATAAAAATGCAGAAAAACCTGCGTTCCTACAGACTGTAGCGCCTAAACGAATGTACCGATTTCAATGAAACTTCGCTAAAGTCATTTTCTCGATACCCTTTAAATTTATCTATAACTTTTTCAACTAAAAATATCAGTAAAATGGCATCTCTCAAAAATGTTGAAATTGGAGTTAGTCATTCTATGGTTTATAAAAGCAGATGGAGTGACTAAATTTTTATTGCCTACCGCCGATATATTAAATAGACATTTTGTAATAATAATGGTCTTAATGACTTGTTATCTGTAAGCTTTAAGCTTTAGCTCCGTTTAAAATGCACTTCAAAAAATTTTATAATAGCCCAGCATTGCCAGAAAATAATTTCTATTCAAAGTAGATCGGTAAGTGAAAGTTGTGTGTTGCGCGCACCAGATTTTTTCATTTCAATTTTACTTATTTTCGAGAAGTTTTCATTTGTTTTTGTTTATATATTGATAACTAAGATTCTGTATGTATTGTTTGAGCGTCTGAGCTTTCCGTAGTTTTTGGCCAAATATGGTTTTTGTTTATTTCTAAGAAAACTTATCCCAGAATAAAGTTTGTTTTCATTTAAACATTTTTGGAACGTTTGGGTGCCATTATACTACATCGATTTCTGGTAGGTTGAAGTCAAATCTTCAATACAATACATGGTATTTGATAGATTATATTTTAGTGTTACTTTCTTATAATCGTAAGTAATGAAATCATGAGCATAAAAATAATTCAAATAAATAGGCCATGAATGATGGCACAGCTGATAGGTCATACGACCGTCAGGTCAAATATACGTCCTTGGGAAGGAGCCTTTTATGTTGGGTTATGCGGGGAGGAAGATAGCTTTAACCATAAAAGGTCGGGGGGCCGGTGCTTCGAAGACCTTTGTCCAGCATTCCATCTGGATAAAGGGGCTTGCCTTTGTCAGCCAAATTGGGGTCGTCTACCAGCGCATCTGATGATGCCACCTCATCACTGACAGGCCCAGCCAAATCCACTGCAGTCCCAATTTCCTGGCTATATTGGAGGAGGGATCCAATATAGGCTTCTATAAATAGATCAAACCCATGTATATTTCTTTTCTTTTTTTATTTAAAAATTACAATGTTGTTTACTATAATGAAAATTTCATACTTTTTTTCCGAATAAAACAAAATTATACATCCATAAACAATAAATTAAACATCCATGGGTGTCATCCAAAGCCTTGGATGAGTTACTGTTATCGCAAATATATGGTCCAATAATTTATATTGTATAATATTCAGCAGATCATATTGAGAGATCGTGCGATATATGAAAGACAAAGGGTGGAATATTGATTCAGTTCAGACTTGACTATTTTTAATCTTTATTTAAAATCCTCATATATATTTCCAATAGCAAGATAAGTTAGTATTGATCTACTTAGAGCTATTGGGAGGAATAGTATCTCGTATTGGAGTATCATTTTTTTAAATTTTAGATAAACGTTTTTTTTTATAAGTTCATCAGATCATGTACAATCCCATTCCTGAATGTTAAAAAAAACTGTT